TTGTATATTCTCACATGTTTTCTTTCCATGTTGTTGTTGGTCCGCGCCTTGCTGTATGTCCGTCTCCTCTTTTGGTGTATGTCTTGTGTATGTGGCATCTTTAGTGGGCTAAAGTGGTATCTGCTGTCTTTGTGTGCAATTCAGAATTAATTTTGTGCTGACTTCTTCTCTTATGACCTCATTCCTGATTTTATCTCTTGTAGTCCCTCCTGCAGTCCTTCTCTGACATCTCATTTCCATGGCTACTAATTGTCTTTTCTTGTTTGTTGTGAGAGACCATGTTATTATTGCTTGATGGGTAATACTGTCAACATCCTTTGCTTCACAGAACATTTCCTGGTATCCTACTTTAGGTGTGTCAACCTTGGAACTGAAGTCAGTTTCTACAATCTAGCTCCTTAGAATTCTAACACCTAAAATTCAGCTCAGCATGAAGCTCGAAAAAGACTTCATACTAAACCACTATGAGAGGAAAAAATATGATAAAAGATGTATTTTGATTTGGTCATTAACAAACATAAAGACTTAAAGGGTTTGGTTATTTAATGAGAATGACTTCAATGTTGACAGCACATAACATGACAGTAGAAATATCAAGAGGTAGGGGATGACAGAGAAGAAGATAAACTGAAGTAGTCGCTGATACCTTGAGACTCTCGAAAAAGGCAGCGTGCTGGGCAACCGAGTGTGCCCTAGCTTGGATACTGATAATCTTTTAACCTGTGATGCCTAGCAGCACAAAGCATAAAACAGACAAAAGAAAGATGGAAGCATCTATATGTCTGGTCACAACATTATGACATGATGTGAACAGGTTCCTTCTTAATCTTCTTTCTTTTCCTAGAAAAAAAAAATGTGGCTATGTGACAAGGCCTGGTCAACCCTAGAACCAGATTCACTTGTTTCACTTTGTAGTCTACAGATGGTGCCCCCCCCCCCCCCACCCCCTTTCCCCCCACAACCACTCGAGCAGTTAGGCCACAGAAAAACTGAATGGAAAAGAATTGTACCAGACAAACAAACAAAGGCAAACTTAACAAAAGTTTATTTAAAAAAAAATAATAAACTTTACTATGATTAGTGCCAGAACAACTCATTTTGAAAGCTAGTTTACTTTTCACTAATGCACCACTGCTGTTATGAAACACTTTAGAAAAAAAAAAAAAAAACTAACCAGTAAGGTGAATGAAATGTCCATAATCTACATAAAGAGCTTGTTTAAAAAAACAAACAATGATGGTATAAAATTATGCTGAGGTAATCTGTGGTTGTAAATAACACTGTCCAAAAACAAAACAAAAGGACAATTACTATAAATAATATATAAATGAATAAACACAACTAAAATAAACGTAATTATGTTTTTAAAATGCTATTTCAGTTTTAACATATGCCAGTGAAAGTTGAAGAACCATGCAGAAGACATGGAACAAAAGTAGAAGAACCATGCAGAAGACATGGAACAAACGTTTAAGACATTTTAAAACAAATGCCTGAGGAACCTGTTGAACATAAAATGGGACGAATTCAAGAAGGGGGAAGAAAGAAACAAGAGAAATGTCTGGGCAACCTTTGGTATCAACAGCTGTAAGACAAAGAAGCGGGCGCTATATTGGACATCTTGAGAAGAGAGGAGCAGAGAATCACCAAAGAGGCATTGAAAGGGGGGAAAAAGAGACTGAGGAAGCGAGAATGTCCAAGATAAACCTTAAAATGAATGCTGATGACAGAGGCCAAAGATGCTGGACTGGATTCCATCCGTGATATCAAAGAGATTGCATAGGACAGAGCAGAGTGGATGAACAGACTGCAAGCTTCCTCTGATACTTAATGGCACAATAGGAGGATGAATGTCGATGATGTTTTACAATGAACAGCATCACAAATATAAAGCCCAAGACACATCTGCTTCTTCTCTGTTTTATGTTCTTATTCAGAATGAACACATGCAAGGACATCAAGCTAACATTTGCTATTTTAAAATGTACACTGAAATCAGGTGTTGTTTTTTCTATAAAATATGTGATAATCTGATGAGAAAATTCAAAAAGACTATCCAACTTGACTTTGAAATCATGCACCTCGGAAGTAAAGTTACTGCAGACGAGGATTCTGAAAAGGATGTAACATCAAGAAAAAACAAAGGATGCATTTGCCAGGCTTCACAATATCTGGAATCAACATATTATTATTTTAGATTTTTGTAGATCTATGCCTGTCTGCTTTCTCCTGGCCATGACTACCCTCTTAACTCTTTATCTCTTCTTCTTCTTCGCGTTCACCAGCTGTACACTCTGGCGGAAAGTTCTGGTTGCTCGTCCACTACTGAACTGCAGTCCTGCTCCAGAACCTGAGTGTTGCGTGTGCATCAGTTTTACAGATCTCATTCTCTTGAATACAGACTGTTGGTTCCTTGCCTCTCCTGCAGATGCACTCCGACTTCAAAGGAAGCTCCCCAATTAGTCGACTCTTACGACATGCTTTTGGGGAGGCAGTGGGTCTATTCTTGTTTTCCCCACAATGGGGCCCCGGAACCCACATGGGGGTTAATTCTTTATGTCCCAGGGGGTTTAGCATTAGAGGCCCAAGAAGTAGACAAGAGACATAAAATCAACAAATCTTGCATCCATTGGGCTCCTTGGTAGAAACCTATGAGTGTATGAGGTGTTCCTTGGGACTCAGAGAGTTGATGCTTCCAAGTGTTAATCTTGACTTTACTCAAACTGGCTACATATTAAAGAATATAAAAACCCTTTCTCTCAGGTGACCTAAAAACAAAAAGCCAGGATCCTGTATTTCGGGAATTTGCAACAACCAAATAAAAATGCCATGAAAAGTAGTCTATTTTACACAGGCCACACAAAAAACTTTATAAATTTTATTGGAACAGAGTGAAGTGATCAATAAACACAAGCCTATAAACAAATTCCTATGACGACTCATACTTGACCACCTTGTCTAGAATTATTAGAAAACTACCATGTCGTAATTTCTATAAATAAAAGCCAACTGTTGAATTTTATATGCTATTTTTAGTAAATGCAATCATTCAATGACCTAGCAAGGCTTCAGTTTCATTTCCTACATATCTGGTTAAAAAAACAACATAGAAAAAATAAAAAAATTCCGAACAGCTTTGGAAGTTTGGGTTAAATGGTATCTAGTGAAGCAACAGACTTTAAAAAAAAAAAAAAAAAAAGTTTATAATTCACGGTAACTGAAATTTGCATAACTAATAAAACTTTCCACAAGAAATAATATATCACTGTGGGGACCACAATTTGTTTGTGTGTTAACCAAGTGTTTTTCTTAACAAGTTTGTGTTAATGAGGGTGGACCGTATAACCAGCGCTTTCTGTACTGAAATAATCACTGCTTTTTCAGTACTGAATATAATCACTGCTTTTTCAGTACTGAATATAATCACTACTTTTTCATTACTGAATATAAATAATCACTGCTTTTTCAGTACTGAATATAATCACTGCTTTTTCAGTACTGAATATAATCACTGCTTTCTGTATTGAATATAATTACTGCTTTCTGTATTGAATAAAACCACTGCTTTCTGTACTGGATATAATCACTGCTTTCAGGATTGAATATAATCACTGCTTTCTGTACTGAACAAAGGTAGTGTTTTCAGTAAAGAATGTAGAGCTATTTACACTACTAATTATAACCATAAATTAATGTCAAATGATACTAAGACATGGAAAAAAACCTCAATGCAGACTGACACAAGGTGTCAGCTAACTATACTGTCTGGGGAAAAATCCACATAATTTCTTCAGAATTTCAAACAGGAAAACCGCAATGACATACTTTATAAAACAGTGCCATAAAACCAGCAATCTGACACTGGAAATTAAACTTCCTCAGGGAAATTAGAAAAATGTAATAATTCTTGAACTGCTGGAATTGTTCACACATAATGTTGCCCCTGATATAAGCTAACACAACTGTTGCCTCCATGAAATGCCACATGTTTTTCATTACCTGACAAGGCTTTTGTTTAGTTCACCTGTTCACTGTCTCATGCATTTCCCTCTTCTCACTGAAGCTTATGGGGAAATTATTAGTCAATCTGACAGTAAAAAGAGAAATTTGGGGTCACACGGATTCCCCCCCCCCCCCCCCCCCTCCTCCCAATACAATAATAATATATTCATATCCGGGTCTCCTAAACACCGCGCAGATGCAAACAGAACCAATAGCATTTAACTAGCTTTCTGAGGACAGGTCACTGCAGAAATGGTGATATACTGGCATTTACAAGGCTGTGTCACAACTGGAAGTGACTAGATTTAGCCTTCTCATGGCGAAAGGGTTAGGAGCAAACGCAGACAAACATTTAAGAAGGTTAGATATGACTATTTCCTTATGCTGTTGCCAATTCCACCTATCTTGTTGATTTCTGTTGAAATTATTTTAGTTTTGCCTTTGTCTGTTCACGATATATGGGGGTGAAGAGTTAAAATAACAAACAAAACATAGATAACAAATACAGCATTAGTTACTGAACTGTATATAAGTTGAAGCATGAATATGGTAACAATTATATGAGTACAAACAATATAAACACTATAAGGCTAAGCTAGAATCAAAGACGTAATTTTATGTCTTTGTAAATCATATGTTTATTTAATCATGTGCCTATGTAATCATGTCTATGTAATCATATGTATTCCATGTAAGCATATGTCTATTTAACAAAATGTCTATGCAATCAAGTGTCTATTGTACCTATGTAATCACATATACATAATCTTATGTTGTCCATGTAATCATATTATTTAACCATGTGCCTTCATAATCATTTGTATATAACCATGTCTTTGCAAACATGTGTCTATGCAATCATATGCTGTCTATGTAATCATATGTTTATATAACCCTATGTCTATGCAATCATGTGTCTATGCTGAAACTATGACTTTCACTATGCTCATCTACGTTAATGTCAACATTAACTGGATAAACTGCACTGGGTTCAATGTCTAACTCAGCGCTAACAACATCCTGATATGTGCCATGATCATACGCCAGCCCTGCAGTGTTGCTCCTGTCATAGTTGTTATTATCGTGATAATCCTCGATGTGGTGATCCTGGCCGATATCAATGTTGTGGATGACGGGGGTGTTAATGAGGTCAGCACCACTGCCGCTGTAGACGATGTTGCCAGGATCGGTACTGTCACCACTAAGACCCACGACGACAGCTTCTGGTGACTGGGAGTTGTTAACTGTAGTTGACAGCCCAGGGAATGTCTCCTCTTCTTGGGCCAGTTGGAACTGTGGACAAGATAATTTTACATGATGAACTCTACCGTAACCAGAAGTGCTCAGACGAGGCAATAATGCTGACAATGAATAATTCATGCAATGAAATTAAGTAGGCTACATCTGTTGTAAAATCAAAATTGCTGTTACAGCCATAAGATCTTGCTCTGTAGATCAAACCAGTCATTTTTCCTTCAAAACTTGCCTCATTCACAATTTGGGCATTGTGAACCCTGCAGAGTTCAATGACAGCATACTTAACCTTTTTTTAATTGTTTTATTTATTACATCCCCCCCCCCCCCCCCCCCCCCCCCCCAGCTTTCCTGGTCCTTTATTTTTCAATTTTTATTTTTTCTAATATTTCATTTCATTACAGCTCTTTCTGTTAATATTATCTTCTTCTTCTTCTTTGTTCACCGGCTGTGAATTCCGGCCGAAGTCCGCTTGGACTTTCGGCTTTTACCTGGACCTGAGTTTTGCATATACAACTGTTTTGTTGTTCCCTGCCTCGCGGGCAGATGTACTCCGACTTCGAGGGAAATATTATCTTCTATTATGTAGGCTAATAAGGTTACACAGCTTTTTATTTAAAAAAAAAAAAAAAGGTAAAATATAGCAGATAGCGTGTGAAGTGTTAGGGGATTTATTTTTCTTGGCACTTCTTAAAGTAGTTTGCCAATGCTTTCTTTCTTGGCAGTGACTGGTCGGTCAGGTTTTCACCACTGCCACAGTGTGATCCTCTAGCAACCACTCCGGAACTTGACACCATGACCAACAGCTACCGGTCTGTTCTTAAGCTCAGTCCACCAATTTCTTCCAAAATTCAAGTTGTTTGTCCACTTCTAAACTTTAGTCTCGTCCCAGAACTTAAAATATGTGTGCACATCTGTTTCACAGATCAGGATTACTTAAATGCAGACTGTTTGATGCTCGCTTCTCAGGCAGATGCACTCTGACTTTGAAGGAGAAACTCCCAACAAGTCACCTTGCTCAACACGCCTGGTAATGTGGCAGTAGATCTATTCTTTTTTTCCCCTCCAGAATGGTGCCCCAGAACCAACATGGAGACTTGATGTCAGTAATTAGCACTGAAGAAGAAGTGGGAATATACCTTACTTGTTAAACTCTGACAATACATGCATTCTGAAAATGTTTCTAGTTAGTGAGGAAACATCATACTTTTGAGAGGGTTTTAGAAGGATTGAGGGTTAAAGGTTAAAGAGCAATCGTCATGTAGTCTGCAGGCTGAAATTATTTTAAAACTGTATTCCAACTAGGCACACATTTCTGTTTTTTAACAGACTTCGCAGCCATATACACAAGAAATTCAACTTTTTTTCCCAAAAGATTTTGCAGCAATATGTACAAGAAATTTAAGAAATTTCTTTTTTTCAACAGACTTTGCAGCCCTACATAAAAATACTGTTTTTTCAACAGATTTTGCAGCAATATGTTCAAGATATTCAAGACTGTTTTCTCAACAGACTCTGCAGCCATATGTACAAGAAATTCAAGTCTGGGGTCTGAGAATTGTGACCCCCGTGTGGACAGGGATCCCAACCACTGAACATGTGCTGCAGACATGCTCTCTACATGCAGTAGAGAGAACCCAGATCTTGCCAGGTAGCATTTCAGTGGAAACCAAGCTGTGTGGATCAATGGGGGACATGTGTTGCAGTAGTCTTTATAAAGACCTGTGGCCTTTTCATCTGAAAAATGCTGGCAGGAAGAATGACAAGAGGACTGTTTTTCTGGATCTTCTGAGTGAAAGATTGCTAGTCTAATGGTAGAAGATTAACTCCAGATTATGACATAAACCAGGTCTGTGCGATGTGGGTGTTGTAAAGCTTTTATATGTGTATGTTCTAATCGGGACTTCCAGTCAACATAGTATGGCAAGTGGATGTTTATTCTTTGTCCCGAGTCTAACTGTAGTCAGTTTCGGACATCCTAGAGTGGAAGATGTGTTATACTAGTGTGAATGTGATAGTCTAGTTCAAGTGTGACTATTCAAGGAAGTTTGAAAACACTGTATCTTTATATCGAACCAGTAGTGGTTTATTTAGTGCTCAAATATCATGAACCGACTAGAATGAAAGGGATAGTACCCAAGAATTTCAAATGGTTTGGTCATGTAACCAGATTGGCAATAGACAGGACACCACAGAGAGCAATGTTATAGAGATATAGCGAAAACAGAGCCAGAGATCGACTACGTAGAAGATGGACAGCAGAAATTTCTGTGACACTGAAAAGTACTGTATATAAAGTGAACAGAAGGGCCCGTTCAAGAGATCTCTTGTCCTGATGCTGCGAGGCATTCCAAGAGTAGAGAAAAGAAGAAGAAGAAGAACTGAGTAATGAAATTTCCTGCTCTAATTAAAAAGAATGAACCAAGTTTATACTATGTAAAGCTTTTTTTGTTTTTTTCCCTCTGTTGTTGGCTTTTCCAAGTCCCTAATTCAGTGAGAGTCTTTTGATAGAAGAATTAATAGCATGCTAGGTTAATTAACTACATTGTTTGTTAGAAGCATGCCACTGTTGTGCACCCACAACATGCCACAATGACTTACTGTTGCATTTCTGCTTCCAGCATGTTCTGCAAAATTGTTAAGATGTACAGTATTTCAATCATTTGCTAATCTTTGTGTCGTGAAATTTACACTCAACAGTGAATGTAAACCCTATGCTCAACAGCCAACATGGGAAAGAAACATAAATTTGCACAAATCCTCTTGTAGTACACAACAATGGTAGGTAAAGGGGGTGGAAGAAGGCCCTTGAAGAAAATGGATCGCAGGAGTCACTGATAAACCTTCGCTTTGCTACTGAACCTCTGCTCCTCTGCAGCGCCTCACGGCATAGAGCAAATAACAAAAGGAAACAGACACACACAAGTTGAGTTAACTGAGTTATAAACCAATATCAAAATCAAATATCACAGCCCTCAGAAATTGCCAAAGTGCTCTATCTTCATGTTCAGCAGCCAGCGGGTAATTCCAATTCCAGTGGTACCAGTAGCATTCTGTGTTTCCATGTTGCCTTTCTCTCTGAGTGTCAGCCAGATCCTCTGGTCACTCCTTGGTGCACCATTCTCCTCAGACCGTAATGATCAATTTGTTCTGCCGCACTGTTTACTCGCTCCAAAAGGGTCTTGAACCACCTAGAGCTTATCATGCATCAATTAGCCATCAAATCGTTAATTTTCCAACACACTTGAATGCTGGAGGAAGTATCCAAAGGATGATAACTATCTGGAACCTTACTAACTTATATGAGCGTCTTCTACCATGAGATATACAGGTTTACCAGAGGGATCGCCAGACTTTACTATCAGCAGTTTTCTTCCTTTTTTAGTTACCTGGGACCTCTGAAGCGATACTTGGCACAGAACCCACACCAACAACACAACTAAGAAAAGATAAGCTAAATGAACCATTTTCAATATATACCAAATTTCCCCGTTGAAAGCCCATAGATATCACATTCTTGTAAACCACAACACTGTACTTTTAAAGGCAACTACACAAGAGGCAATGTTTAAACCGCAGTCTATGAGTAGTAATACAATGATCAGTTTACCTCCTCTATATTTTGGGTCAGTCGTGCTATGACTAGAATAATTAAAAATGTACAAGGTAGCATCAAAGGGCTCCTCTGTAGTGCATGTCAAAAGTGTGGTGGCCATCTCTAAACTGTCATTATTAAGTCACTGTGTTCATCTGCACCAGGATGTCACATGCTAAACACTCTTGACATCCTTAACAACAAATACTGACAGGCTATGAGACAATGGCATGGTTAATTTACTTTCTATCACACTTTTAAAGTTTTCATTTGAAGCCCCCTCTTGCACTATTTTAAGCTTGGATGTTTTTATCCTTCCTCCATGAAGACTAAAAAAAAAAAACAGTGACAAACACACACACACAACTCACTTTGCATAGTTTGACACTTGGCACCAACCCAACCATCCAAACAATAGCAGGACCCAGATACAGCGTCGCAGGTGCCCTGGTTCTCACAGTCACAGAAATACACGCAGCCAGGACCATAACGACCCGGCGGACAAACTGATGTATAGATACAAAATAGGCAACATTATTATCACATAACAAAACCCTTCAATCGTTACGGTCGTGCATGTGTGACAATGGATGCACTGGTACACAACATTTGCCATCTTACTCTGTCCTGATGTTATCATTCTAGACCCCCCGCCACCATGCCCTATGATCCTTGAAGTAGTTTTTGCAATCTAATCATCCCTCACCATGTGCCCGAACCAAACTAGCTCACAACATATCACCGCTGCAAAAAGAGGCTCCTGATATCCTGTAAATGTGTTTATTTTGTCTCCTACGTACTTGTTAGTTTTATGTTCTAAATGGCTAATTCAGAACACAAAACTAAAAAATTGATTACAATGGAATTGAAAAAAAACATAAAACTATTTCCTCTGTAATTCTTTAATAAATTATACACCTCTACATATTTCTTTAGAACTAACCCTTGCATTTTTTGGCAGTTTTTGTTTTAAATTGCAGTAGTTTGCCTCTGCTTTCTGACCTGTCGGCTGTTGATATCACTGTTTAAACTAACTTAAGGTGGTATGGTGCCAAATTGCTCGCAGCTAGGATCGAACCAGGCACCTCAGAGTTATGAAGTGCATTCACAGTGCTTAAGCCAGAGATGCTGACTGTCAGTTTTACAATAAAAACAATAATAAATTATTCCCATCTCCAAATGTCTGCTAAGCTATCTTTGAAGAAAAAAAAACATTAAATTGATCACAAACTCTGTGGATATGTTTCAAAAACATGTATACAATATTATGTATTTATTAGACTAGAATCCACATTGCTACACTCAAACATGCTACGTCTCCTTCAGCAGCTGCGTGGAGTGGAAGGATACTGAGACAGACATAGCTGTTGATGTGTTTCACTCTCAAGACTCCAAGTCTAACCCTAGCAGTGGTAAAATATTCAAGTGTGTAATTATCTTAGTT